GTGGAGTGTGGGAGTGGGAGTGAAAAGTAGGAGTGGGAAGTGAAAGTTGTAACGATAGCATTTAAAATCTAACGTGAGAAATTATATTTCGTACAGACAGTATACCTATATATACTACAGCACGTTCAGCCTGCTACCCGCGAAGAGAGTAGCTGCCGCGTCGTGGCAACGTCACACTCCCCACCGCGAGACTTACCTGGCTAGCGACCAGACTTCTATATACTTTAATTGCTCGCACGGACAATTTCCTCCGTTCGCCGTCGAACTGACTCGGGGCTTGCTCCGAGGAAGATCGACGACAACTCTCTCTCTATCTTTTCTCTCTTTCGTTTCTACCTGGTGCAGGCAGGCGGTATCTCAGGTACAACTGGGGCTGCTAGCTTGCACTAATTCTTTCTCTCTACCTAGTGTAGACAGGCGGTATCTCAGGTACAACTGGGGCTGCTAGCTTGCACTATTTCCTAGAGGGAGGTGTACTCGAGACACAGGTACAACTGTGCAGTACACTGCAAAAAGAGGTGTCTTAATTGGAGACATTTTTGATGTCTTAGACACCAAAAGTGTCTTGGTTCTCCACCCAAGACACCTTTTTTTTGCAGTGTAGTAACACCCCTCGTTACTCCGTCGCTCCTTTCTCGCTCCTTTCCCGGCATTGTGAACCAATCCTGTGGTGAAGAGGTACAACTCGACCTCCACAGAGTTGATCCACTAGGTAGATTCTTCGACCCAAGGTACAACTTGGGGGAAGATGAAGCTTGAACAGAGATTTAATTATTTCGGTATTTTTTCCTATTGGATAAGAGGGTCAGCGAGCGTACTGGCTCTTCATTGACGCGATTTCTCTCTAGTGACATATTGCAAAATCGTCTCCCCTAGAGTGCACAATCTACGTAACCGTCCAATATGAAAATCGGAAAGTAAATTCATGACTAGCTTTGGGAATAATTAAATCTAGTAACGCGTAACTCGTTAGTAAAGAAACGTAATTATGCAATAAGTGAAACGTTCAATAGTGAAACGGTAAACTAATATGAGTCACTATTCTCGGATAATAAACTAGCGAACGATATTTCATTATTGGTATTTCTACGATTTATTTTGTTAATCTAAATTTATTTTGTTTACGATATTTTGTTATTTTTTTGTTTGTTACTACACCTTACTCTAAATCATAGTATATAACGGTCCTTAACTTAAATACTGTTTTGATAAAGATTTTAAGACTAATTTGCTAAATTTAACTAAACTAAGTACCCGGACTCCATCCGGCGAGCTATTCTTTTGGCAATTAAAAATCACGAACATTACAAAGTGGAAAGTTGGACTGGAAAGTGAGAAGTGAAAGTGGAAAGTTGGGGTGAGAAGTGGGAGTGAGAGTAGAGTAAAGGTGGGTAGTGGGAGTGAAAAGTTGGAAGTGAGAGTGAAAAAGGGATGGTGAGTAGTGAGAGGGGAAAGTGGGAAGTGAGAGTGTAAAGTGGAAGGTGGATAGTGAAAGTGGAAAATGAAATGTATGAAGTAAAAAGAGGGGGTGGGAAGTGGAAAGCTACAGAATCAACGCTCAGGTCGGTAAAAGGGATGGAAAAACATGATTACTGGAATCGCAGGAAAGAGTGTCGGAAGTATTGAAGCCAGAGAGTTTTCGATCGGAAAAAGTTGATAAGAGAGGATCCACTATGCTGATCAGAATCGGCCAAGGATCAACGTATTTTATATTATCATGCAGAGATTTTATATTATCATATAAAAGTAGGAGTGGAGTGTGAGAGTGGAAAGTAGGAGTGGGAAGTGAAAGTGGAAAGTTGGACTGGAAAGTGAGTAATGGAAGTGGAAAGTTTGGGTGAGAAGTGGGAGTAAGAGTAGAGTAGAGGTGGGTAGTGGGAGTGAAAAGTTGGAAGTGAGAGTGAAAAAGGGATGGTGAGTAGTGAGAGTGGAATGTGGGAAGTGAAAGTGTAAAAGGTGGGTGTAAAAAATGAAACGTGGGAAGTGAGAGTGTAAAGTGGAAGGTGGATAGTGGAAGTGGACAGTGAGAGTGGTAGGTGGGTATGAAAAATGGAATGTGGGAAGTGCGATTGTAAAGTGGAAGGTGTGTAGTGGGAGTGGAAAATGGAAGGTGGAAAGTGAGAATGGAATGTGGGAAGTGAAAGTTGGAAGTGAAAGGTGGGAGTGGAAAATGAAATGTGTGAAGTGAAAAGTGGGAGTGGAAAGTTACAGAATCGAAGCTCAGGTCGAGGGTCCACTCTGCTGACCACAGTCGGCCAAGGATCAACGTATGCTGACTGTATGATAAACTTTGCAAGTAGGTCACCGCGAACGTTAGCCATGCGAGAGTGGTATCAGCAAGAGCTAAGAAAATGGGAATCACCTTCTGATTAGAATCTGAGGAGGCTCTAATAAGAAGACTTTCATCGCTGAGATCACCAAAGCGGTTGAAAGCATAGGCAAGGTGCAGTCGATGAATCAAAGACTTACACTCGATTTCTGCTACTTGGATTGTATTACCCAAGAGGCAGATGTCCAACAGTTGTGGGCAAAAGTGCCAGGAACTCCAGGAAGCAGGAGAACGATGATCTTAGAACCCAATTGCTGGGGGATGAAGATCACGTGGTTTTTGTCGCAAGCCCATCAGAAGAAACGGACAAGCTGCAGACATTAAGACATCTAAAAATTGGTGGAGAGGGGCTTAAAAATGCTACACTAAAGATTGAAATGGAAGGGGATCGAAAACTTCCAAAATAACAGCTACGTGGTGACCTCTATTAAGATATGTTTAAATTTTAAATGAAAATAAACTTTTATTTTACATTTCAAGTACGATTTAGTTTTATGTACTAACATTTTAACATTTAATACATTTTAATGTATAGATACAAATATAGACTTTATAATAAAACAAAAAGCATTTAATTTTTAAAAATTCCAGTATAACGAAATACCTTAAATGACATGAGAGTAAAAAAAATTGACCTTTGTGTGTTTATGGTAATAAAATTACCTGTAGTTGAGTTTGATACTTCTAGGCCGTTATCGTCGTTTCTGTCGACGTTAAAATCCGTCCGAATGTTTCGCATCACATCACTTTTGTTATGAGAAATTTTATGGGCAATTTTTTTTGCCCTCTTACGTGCCATGAGATCAAGATCAATGAAATGGGTGCCATTTGCTAGCTCTTCACGAATGCGTCTAAGCAGGGCTTCCTACAATATTTATTAGAATTAGAGATCCGATGAGTCGTGTTCGCACGCGGTTGGTGTATATTACTATTAAAGGCACTAAAGGTACGGCGTCCGGAAGCATTTGTACTCGACCCAGTGATTACGAAGTACGTGAGAGGCTTTCAACCAAAATTATTAGACTCATTATCTTGCACTTTACTAGCACGTGTCAGGAAATTTCCTGTTACCTTTTCCATAAGTGTTTAAAAACTGCTGCTTGGACAGTTATGACACACATCAATACACAATCTTTTATTTTCAATCCTGTTTATTTTATTTGTGTTCCTTACATGAGGGAACGTTAAATGTTATCCACATCTTCTGTTACAATTATTATTTTTATTCTTTCTGATTTTTTCTAACTTTCTGTATTAATAATTAATTCAGAACTAATTTTTTTAACTTTACTGAGGACATTTATAGCACATGAAGGAAATACTATTTTGAGATGAATTTTGGATATCTTTAGAACATAATAATGTTCCAAGAATGTTTCTAAAATGATGACCACTGGAAGTGTAAAAGAGCTTTTACCATTTTCAATAATTTTTACAAGATGTCATGAAAACTTACGGATGTTTGTCGAGAATAAAAAAAATTGCATTTAAAAATCAAAAACTGTTGAGTTTTTATTTTGGACTGCTAAAAATTGTAGAAAAATAAAAATATTTACAAATTTTTTACAAACTGCAATCACAGATTAATTCAATACTGAATCGTCAAAAAAATGAAGTATATATTCTTTTTCTTTTATTTAAATACAGAAATAAAGATAACTTGTTTTTGTAAAAAAATATTCAAAGAGTGAGAAATTGATAGAATGATTAGAGAAAAAAATATGAATTGCAAAAATCAAATTAAAATGCTGAATCCTTATTTGAAAATTGAAAAAAAGGAAATATTGCCAAACTCGGAATTGTGGTCAAGCTTTTTTCTACGATAGTTTCGCCACATTAAATTTATTTCACTGCACGAAAATCTCACTCTTTCTACTATAGTGACATGTCTAGCCCAGGACACTCTGCTAAATTAAAACCTGGGATAAATTTATCGTCCTGAGCTTAAAGTACTCTTTTTTCGAAAAGTATAATTTATTGGTTTTAATTATGTATTCTACAGCAGTTTTACAAGCTAAGTACATTCTATCATTATATAGAATAATTTTTTTCGACAATTTAAACTTTTTTCCGAAACGTTTCTTTCGGTTTAGATTCTAACTTCTGTATCATATTTACCATTTCATAGTTGACTATCTATAATATTTTTTAATTCGAAATTTGTTAACTTTAGACCTTGCTTATATTGCTAAAATTGTGCAAAACATATTATTGCAAATTTTTTAAGCTTTACTAAAATTGGGGAGAGAAGTTTTTACCATTGTTTGAAAAAGTCGTAAAATTTGATAAATAAATTTTTTAAAATTATGTAATAAAATTTTTAGACAGTAAAAAAATTGGTTTGTAACATTTGAATAAATTAGAAATATATTGAATTACTTTTATAATGGATAAAGTTTTCTAAGGAACGCGTAAATAGAATTAATGTATATAGTTGTTACTGAAACGAGGCGAAATAGAAATCCAGTTTAAAATTTTGTTAACTTGCGGTACTTGATGATACTCAAACCCATTGAAATCGTGGAGACACTAAATCAAATCGATGGAAGATCTAAATGAGTTAGCACAGTAATTGCCATGACCGAAGTGGAAACTTTCTGATTAATCTAACAGCTGATAGTTGAAGCTTCTGTGGGTTGGAGTAGGGTATGGTTCTCCTTCAGGAGCTAAAGGGTGCGAAAGCTGGCACGTGGAAGCTGCAACGCATGCGTGTTATTATATCCTCCTGCAGGATTTTCAGTCGCGTCAGGCCAGTCAGAACTTGCTCTCCGGCACGCGTAGATTTTTTTTTTCATATAACGTGTGTGTCAGTGTCAGTGTCAGTGAACTGGTAAACAGAATAAAGTGCGTGTGGCGTTGGTGTCCACACATATTAGGGAGAAACTATGACAACTTCATTTCTTCTTCTTTGTACCGGAATCTTCTTCGTACAAATTTGCATCATTGGGGGTAAGTTTAAAAAAAAATTAATTCTAATTATTATTTACTTCTTCGCAAAACTTTTATTAACAAAAAGAGTTGAATAATTCAACTATTTCTGGTATTTTAGACCACGAGGCTAAAATATTAGCAAATGGAATTTTCTTCCTGTTAACCATCAAATGTTTCCATTAGTAAAATAAGCATTTGTTTGTGCATCGTTGTTTAATTAGTAAAATTTTCTCCTTAGATGAAAACATTTTTCCATTTTATTAAAATTCTAAGGACTGGTTTCACTAACTCCGATTAAAAATTAATCAGTTAAAGTCAGATTAAACGCTCATGCATTTTTCTCATTACAAACATTATTATTTTTTAAAAAACAATTCTTTTTTAGACTGGGCTTTTACATTTGGAAATAAATCTCTAAGACAATTTAAACCTGAAACTTTACGATCAGTTTTACTACCAGGAAGTATAGTTACACTAATCAGAATTGTAATGAATAAAATTAATAAGATTCAATAGAGTAATGTTAAGTGATATAATAAATGCCTGTTAATGATAATAATATTAATAATTCTAATAATATTATAACAATAAAATAATAATAATAGTTCAGAATATTAATAATGGTTAATAATAATACATAATAATAATAACGATATTGGTACTAAAAATAATAATTGTAGAATTAAAGAAAGAATAAAACCATTTGAAAATAAAAAAGTGAGAGATAAACAATTTACGTGTGAGAAATAAAGTAGTGAAATGTAAATATTGAAAAGAGTGTTGTGTATTTGCGATAATACATAATTGTCGACAAGAAAGCCGGAACGTTTAGTCATGGGCAAGTTAGCTAATTATTCGTGGACATGCTAGTGAAAGAAAGTATTGTCCCATTTGTCGCAGTACACTGCAAGCTCTTGCAGTTATGCAAATAGCCATGCGTGATGAAACGACACGTTAAGTAGGTTCTCTTCGAGTGTGTATTCCAACACTGATCACGCAAAATATATAACACAGTGATGAGCTTTGCCGTAATGTTGAAAATTATGCGCTCTCTCATACACATAAAAAAATTCTTCTTTTTTCAATTAAAAACTTGGTTGATTATAATTTTATAATTTTCACACTCATGTAGCTTCATTTAACTGAAAATAATATTGTACAGTACACAATTTTTTATTAGGAAGAAAAAATGTTTGAATTGTTGTTAATAATGTAGACTTTTAGCTATGGCAAATTTTTTTTTCTTTTCTTTTACTATTTGCCATGACTTATCCGTGTTTGGCACTGATCCACTTGGGATGCAAACGTGGATCAGAGCCAAATGTGGATCAAAACCCTATGTTCGAAAAAAAAATCCTCGACTAAACTTGTGTAAATTGTTTTCGAAAATCGGGGGGTTTCTTTTTTTATTTCTAGCCAGAGGCATCACTATTTTTTGTGATATTTATTCAGAGTTAAACTCGTATTCCTCTATATATGTCAATTTTTATTGATTTTAGAGATTTGATAAATGATAAAAATTCTTAAAAGACTGAAGAGTAATTTTTTGTTGTTGAAAATATGTATTTTTTTGCAAGGAGTTTGCAAAAAATGGAATAAATTGGCTACTTTTGTTATTTTATTTTCTGCTGGGGGAAAATCGTCTCCAGTCGATATCTTATACTGAAAAAGACGAAGTACACAACGCAACCCCCTTTCGTTTCACGTCGTTCCAAATCCTGACGGATGACTTTACCCGCACGCTTCTTTCGCAACAGTCGACTTATGTAAGTCAGGCACTCCGAGGCGTGTTGGCAAAGAAACTCTCAAAGGCAAATCTTCAAATATAAGTTGAATATCGTCTAGGAAATTCCAATGGTTGTATAAAAACGTTGAAAAAACATCTCTCAGCAGCTACTGCTTATGAAAACATACATTCACCAAAAATATACTTCTTCACTTTTTTCCATTTAAATAATTTTCCTTTTTTTCCCTCGTTCAGATGAAAAAAAGAGAAGAAATAAGAAATTTTCTATCGATTTCTATTCGAGAAAATAAAAATTATTTTAAAACTTTTCTTGAAAAATAAATTAAAAAGTTTTTATCAAACATTATTTTTTTTCAATAAACTCTTGTTGATTAAACTTTGATTGTAATTTAATTAATTTCTTTCTGGAAATTATTGGAAAAAAATGTATGGTTTTTAAGAAATTTTTTTGCATCGCTGATTGTTTATGACAGCAATTGCTGCTTGGACGAATAAATCTTCAAGGAACTGGAGAAAGAGTCAAAGCGTTAACGGAATACGAATGATTCACTGAATCAATAAACTTTTGTCGCACGAACGATTCGAAGCATCTGAGAACACCGCGTGTAAGGGGAAATGTCAGAAATTCTTTTTCTCTCTGTGTGTGAAAACACGAAAAGGGATATATTCTTTTTAGCGAGAGTGATACCGACCCACGCGAAATCAACAGGCAATCTGAAAATTAACTTGGCAAACTTTTCCAATGGATACACCTCCGGCATAGTTGCCATTCGGTAAAATTATGAATGTATACAAACCGAGCTAAACAATATGTACAAGTTAAATTGCTTTTGTAATTAATTTCTGCCTAGTTACGTGTTCGATTTTTATCGATAAAGAGAGAAAGAGACGGGGGATATATATTTATAATTTTCAAGTTTTTGCGAAGAAAAGTTTTTAATTGAAAGAAATGACCAATATTCGTTGCGGGTTCGAATTTTGAAAGGAATAATTGTGTCGAATTTACACTAGACGAGTTATTTTATTTGCAAAGATTTCTCTTATTTTCTTCATTTACTAAAAATATACTTTTCGTATTCAACAGTTTCTTCATTTACTTTTATAATTAATGTCTCTACTCCTCTGTTTTATATATTGTCATTAGAATATTAATTAAAATAAATAAAATAGTATCTTTACATTCCATTCGAGAAGTCTTTTTAATTCCAACAATCTTTGTAAACGATTTAAATTCTGCGACTACTTCTCGTCATCTGACGAATTTTATCACTGCGAAACGAATTATATACACCTGTGGGCCGATTAATAACCGACAGTTGCCGAACAGACCCGACAAAGTACGACCGAACCCGACTCTCTCCGATTCACGGAATCAAACCTTCGTTTCTCGGAAATTAGGTTTCCGATGAAACAAGAGTGAACCCGATTATTACTGCATTGTTTCTAATGAGTTCTACACATAGAAATTCGATAATAAATTTATCCCTGCAAGTGTGAAAACCTTTTCAACTATATATAACCCAATTTCATTTGATATTAAACAATTAGTTCCGAATATATTTTCGGAATATTTGTATTTGCTTCGTCAATGCAGTGTGCTAAGTGTAAAATGTCGCCTACATGTGGTGTTTTGTTGAGGTCCAGATTGTTGATATAACCACAACTAGTAGTCGCTTTTCTCATCCAGTTTCTCTTTACATCTCTGTTCTAGACCGTTTTCATGCAAATGCATAATCATACTTGTAACGCATCGTTACAGAATGCAAGGGTAAAATCTGTGCGGTAAGGTTGATGGTCTGAATAGAAACGCTCTCATACAAAACCATATAAAGCAACTGAACACAAAAGGTTTAACTGTTGATTCATATTTTTAAAAATTCAATTTCTACCTTTTACGCTCTAATCATTAATACTAAAAATGAAATATCTCTAAACTTTTATATCCACACTTCACTAAATTTTCATAAATGTAAAATAACAATGCAAAAATATGCTACACTAAATTCTTTTAAATATCAAAATTACTTTATTCAATGTAAATCTGCATCTTTTTCTATCTTTTTTTAAACATATTTTGAGAGAATTTATCATTTAATACGAAATAAAAGATTATTTGAAATGTTATTTTTAAATCCCAATTCGTTTTATGAATAATAAATAACATTATTACATTATTTCCTGCTGTAATCTTTCAGTTATTAAGCAAACAACAGATAATAATAATTCTGATAATTACAAATATAATATGTTCAGTACATTGAACTTAAAATATTTTAAAAAAGACTCTTTTTGAAAGATATTTCCATATTTTCTTGATTAGAATTTCATTTTATTATCAAATTATAAAAAATATTATTTTTGGTGAATACAAAGTAATTAAATTCTCATCGACAGATAAGTGAAGAAAATAAATTTTAAAATAAGGAGAATATTTGAATAAATGAAAAACTATTTTTAGCAAAGAAAATCATTATTTTGCAGTTTTGTTCACGTTTCTAAATAAATAAATATGTAAAAAACGGAGGCGTCGAATAATTTTCCAATATTCAAAACCGTGATGCACCAATCCTTACAATTTGGTGTTTCCATTTCTTGTATAAGGGTTGAATGTCTACCAAGTGAACGAGTTATTTGTAGCACGTTGCCGAGTTGGACTTTACACGACCCGTAAGACGTCGTGTTTATTCGGTGCTTTTCCTCTAGCCGAACAATACCGTAAACGACATCCGCTTCCGGAAACAGAGAAGTCTTTCGCGTAAAATATCCCTCTCTAGAAAGTTCTCATTCTACGTATTTCTTTCACTACTTTCAAGAGGAAATAGAATAATTAATATTTCGAATAACAATTTTTAAATTATCATTTTTTTTATTAGCTCTTTTATCATATTCTGTTATTATAAATTTAACACCGCAAGATTATCGTTATTTTTTTGGAGTTTAATAGCACATGAACATTAGTTTAATGGGTGATTTGCGTTTATTACTTTTTGTTTTATGAGCTCATTTATTTCCTGAAACTTGGTCATTATGAATTTATTCCTTATAAATATTTTTATTTAATTGTGTCTCTATTACTTTTTATTTGTTTCGGGTTTGACTAATTATTTTTAGTTTTATTTACTAATTCTTTGACGTAACTTATTTTTATTGATTTATTATGTCATGAGGAATTTAGTTGGAATGGATTATTTCATTGCTTTTAAAAATTTGAGTTTACATAACATTAATATTTAATACTACTCTATTTTGATTTAAAATTTTTCGATAGTAA